GAAAACTTTTTAGTTAGGATATAATATATAATAACATAATTATAATAATTAGAAATTTTTCAAAAAAATAAAAGAAGATAAATGTAGGTTAGCCTGCTGGTTGGTGAGCTAACCCGTGATAAGTTGCGGGTCTGACAGTGCGGGTTAAAAAAGCTTATTTATTGACAGGGTGGCTTTTGGCCAACCCAACCCATTATTTTTGGCAGTTGGTAGATTAAATTTGTGAATTCAACTTATATTACCAGCTCTCCTAATTACCTGTCTCAAATAATTTCTTATGACAATAAAAAAGGTTGTTGATGGAAAAAGAAAAAAACCTACTTGCAGGCCGCAGCCACCACATCGGTGGCTCGCTAGCGGCGGCCAGCTGTCTGTGTTGGCCTCCAACTAGGGGTTAAAATTTTTAAAATAAAAAAAAATAAAGGAGCAGTTTTGTTATTTTATTTGAATTTTAAAATTTTAATTTGTATTTTTTTTCCTGTCATTTTCAACCTTTTAACTTTTTGAATTGGGATTTCACAATTTCAGTTTTTTTTCTTATTTTTCCTTCGGTATATTAAATTACCATGTGTTTTTTCGTGTCAAAATTACCATGTGTTTATCTTTTTTGGTTCCTTTAATCTCTGGCTTATTTCGTAGCGGTCATGCTCTGATATCTATTTTGTTTTATTTTGCTTTTTTGTGTCAAAATTACCGTGTGTTTATCTTTTTTGGTTCCTTTAATCTCTGGCTTATTTCGTAGCGGTCATGCTCTGATATCTATTTTGTTTTATTTTGTTTAAAAAAATATTTGCCATTATCCCAAACAAGTTTCATTAGAAGAAAAAAAATCTGCAGCCTTCCACTTTGCTTGAATTGACACTTTGCCTTAATTATGGTTCCTAATATTGACTTTAATTCCAATTTATTTTATTTTGAACAAAAAATTTGTATGGATTAAGTCAAAATCTGGGGAAAAAAGCTGCTTTAACTTGACTTTTGGTTTAAAAATTTCTCTTTTTTCCTCCACGAATTCATTCCAAAGGGCCAAAGAGTTTTTTTTTTTTTACTGTAATAAAGTCCGTTTGGCTTGTAACTTTGATTCAGATCCCCCATCAGGTTGAATGACCTGTCTATTGAGACCAAAATTAAAAAAAAAAAAAAAAAGATTTTTATGTGGCCTGAAGATACTGAGAAAAATAAGTCTCTACTTTTCCGATGACAGGGATACCTATCTAGAAGAGAAAGCAGAAGATTGTGATGGTGAAACCACAACATGTGTTATGCTTAAGGTTGCACATGGGCAGGGCTAGGCAGGGCAAGCCTCTTACCCGATGCCCAGCCCAAAAGATGAGCGGGCTGCGTTTTGTAGCCCGCTGCCCCGCCCTGCTCGATAGAAACCATAACCATTTTGGACAGGGCAAGGGCGGGCTGGGCAGGACAGGGTTTTCTGCCTGGCTTAATGACACCATGCCCTATATCACATGTAGAAAAAAAATTCAATTACCGTGTTTTGAGACAAGTGAGAGGAAAAAAAAATTATCACGAATGAGTCTGTCACTCATATATAAATCTATATATATAAGGCCTATGTAGTCTTGTTCTTTAGCTTTCGATTTCTTATGGAAGGTAAAAAAATATATTTACTAATTAGAACATTTAATAATTAAGCTAAATCAGTAGTTCAATTCCTTAGTTTATTCATATAGTTGGTTGGTTCTTATAATCATGTGAAAGCTCAAAATTTAAAAGGTGGTTTTATTTTTCTTTTTTTTTGTTTTAAAAAATGAATGTAAGAGAAAAATAAGGATATTTGACTTGGAGTAATTTAACATAGTGAATCTTATATTTTAATATTTGGCTCTTTTATATAATTATAATTTTTATGTTCCTTTCATTTTTTTCTAATTTTACCTTATTTTTTTAGCCAAAATAAAAGAGATAATTGCTTAAAATAATATTATCTTATATATATATAATTATATATTTTTTCAAGCAGGGCCAAATAGGCAGGGCAGCATACCCTGCCCGCGGCCCTGCCCTACCCGTGAATCAGCCTGGCCCAAAGATGCCCATTTTTGCTTGGGCAGCTTTTTACTGAGCTGGGCTAAGCACTTTTCTTGCCAGCTTGGGCGGGCTTATTGGACATACAGGCCACATGCACACCCCTAGTTACGCTGATCATCGTAGACCATGGTGCATTAGACGTAACCTAAAAGTATGGACCAAACAGACAACCAAAATAAAAAAGAATTTCCTAGGAATGAGAACCTTTAATAGTCAAGACGAAGCGTGGGTGGCAACTGGCTCGGAATGTCTCCACTGCGTTATCTCTCCCCTACCGCCCTACGCCTTAAGGAAAACGTTGTCGTTTCCTCATTCAGTGGAATATGGGCCCTTTGTTTCAGTGAACATACATCTCTTTCCCTCCCTCCCGATCAGCTGAGCCTCCCAAAGCAAGCCATTTTACCTCCCCCCCCCAAACAACACGTTTTATTTGTTTCAAGTTCAAACTCCTGTGACTTCCTGTGTGAGAAATTGGTTGCTTCTTCATATCTTTCTTCTTTCATTTTTTTTTAATTTTCATTGTGTTATATATATATATATATATATATATATACTGCGGTGTTTTTCTGGTGTCCATTGCCTTTCTTTAATTCAATTGTGTTTTGGTGAAATAAAATCCATTTGTGTCACTGCAGGGTGTATTCATTGAAATGAGTGGCTGAGATTTTACAGAATAAGATAACGACGTCGTTTTTCTTCAGTGGAGGAGAAGTGGAGAGACAATGTAGTGGGGACATTCCAGGGTTACAACAGAGGTTAAGATATTCTAAGCAGGGCTGTTCACGGACCCTTCCTCGATGAATAGTAACAGAACAAGAAATTTGTCCCGTGTCCAGTCCCGTCCCGATATTGTCCCACCCTAACCGGTACTTTTTTTTTTAAAAAAAAAAAGCTCTGGGCCTTGTAAAAAACGCTATGGGCATTCTAAATATAACTCATAATAAATATAATATAAAATATTTAAAAATATATATATACAAATCGGGATGGGCCGTGTCCCGTCCCGTCCTAGTCCCATTTTTATTCCGTCTCGGTTTGTCTCATTCCATAAAATTTCAAGACGGGAACGGGCTAGCTATGAACACCCATAATTCTAAGGGACTGGAATTTATTACTTGTGACAGAGACTCAAGCTATAAACTCAAAAATCAAAGAAAACGTTTTCCCACACGTGATTGAATGAAAAGGCCAAAAATCTAGTAGGGGTTGGCCTTATTTATTTAGGTGTGTTTGGTAATCCCAAAAATACTTTTAAAAAAAATACTTTTTGATAAATTTTTCTACATAGTTATTTCGTATATTATAAAAATAATTTTAAAATTATAGTTTTATTTCTACTCAAATACTCCCTATTTCTTTAGTCTATTTCTTTAGTGTTGTTTACATTACAGGTCATTTTTAATATATTTTATGCAGATTAAAAAAATTAAAAAGTTTATTACTTTTTATTTAAAATTTAATAAGTTTTTAACTTTATCTTTATTCATTTAATATATATTATACCTTATATAAATAAAGTTAACTTAATAATAAATAAAAGATAAATTATATATTTATATAAAAAAAATTTTCAGCTTTTTATAAATAGGATCAAAAATAATTTTTTTTACCCTATAAGCATAAAAAAAATTTCTTAATATTTTATAAATAAGATTAAAAATATTTTTTTTTCCTGTTTTATAAATAAGATAGTTATTACCGTTTTAGAAAAGAAGATGAAAAATTTTGAAAAAAAAGACGAAAAAGTAGGCTATGGAGGCTATCACGATGTCAGATAAAGTGAAGTAGGCAGCCTACTAATCGGAGGTGACCGCTGATGCTCCGCCTCTTGCTTGTGTGGTTCTGTGTAATTTCTTTCCTCCAATAACCAAATGAAGACAGAGAAAGAACAGCAGATCCTCCGCTGACGATGATGATTAACAATTGATTCTGTGAATAAATGTGTAAATTAATGCACAAATCAATAAATAAATTTTTTTTCTATTTATAAATTATCTCATTAAATTTTCAGTAGTGTATATATTATTTTTTCATTTATTTATTATAATGTGACTAGTTATTTTTTTAAAATTTGTATATATTAAATATGGATAAAATTAGAAAATTATTATATTTTAATGGAGAGTTAATGCATTTTAAGATTTTTCTAGATCTGTACGAAATATGCTGAAAGTATCTTATAAATAGGATCACAGGAGTATGCTACAGTGCCTTTTCCTTTTAGCTCAGCCTTGATTAAGACAATACTATGTCCGGTTCAAAATATAAGTTAAATTTTGTTAAAAAGGTTATTTTTTTTAATAAGATAACATTCATTTTTATCTAAGCATTTAATGATGTTTTTTAATTTTATTCTCATATATTCTCTTTTCTCCTTAATTCATTTATTACATCTTTTACTTATTCTCTTTATTAATAAGGGTATATTAGAAAAAATAAATACATGTATTACTTATTTATTGTTTTAAATTGATTTTAATTAGTTTCTTGATAAATATAATAAATAAAATTTAATTTATATTTTGAATCGGAACCAGTAATGGCTAAAATTTGAAGATAAGAATAAAATATGAGCTCTAGGTAACAATAAAAAGTTATATTAGGTGATTCATATTTAAAGTTAAAGGAAAGTAACCTGTGACCCTAAAATCCCCAAAAAAATCAATTAAAGCATCTTATTGATATTTATCATCATCCTTTATTTTGCCGATTCATAATATTCTTTCTGAAATTGTGGACGCGTGAAGATCACTCAAATTATATTTCTGTCCAGGCATTTATTGAGGCGATCAACGAGAAGCAAAACCTATCGTAAATAGGATCGTTGGAGGGGACTGGGCAATACTTTACTATTGCTGTTCTGTTGAGACTGAACTCAGTAACTAAAACGTTTGCCTTCCGCCTTCCTGCCTCTCCGTTCAGCCTTTCTTCAAAACACAGAAGCCGAAGAAACAATGAGGGACAGGATCAGCAACCTACCGGACTCACTGCTTCTGCATATTCTCTCTTCTAAATCTCTCCAAACCAAAGATGTTGCTGCGACGATGCTCTTGTCAAAGATGTGGAAACCACTTTGGCTCTCCATTCCTAAGCTTCAGTTTCACGATAAAGGGTTTAATAGTTATGAATCTTTCCTTCAATTTATAGACGGTACCCTCAACTTTGTTGATCCCAAATCTCTCAAAATGTTTGCTCTCAAGTGTGACTATTTTGATGTGTCCCCTGATAAGGTTGACATTTGGATTAACGCAGTGCTCAAGAGCAAACTTGAGTATCTGAATCTCTGTTTTGCACCTGGTTTTAATTCTGAAGTTAGGTTGCCCTTACCCTCTACTATTTTCAACAACAACGCCATTAGGATCCTAAAGTTGGTCAGGGTGAAGGTGAGCAATCTTTCTATTGTTCATATGCCATCTCTTAAGGCCTTGCACATGATATATGCTAAGTTCTCGGATGCTAAAACTTTAGGCATGCTTCTTTCTAAATTTGTTTGTCTACAAGAATTATTTCTACTATATGTGGATTTACCTTATGATGGGCACACGACGCTGGACATTGGAAGGCTTCATCGCTTGGATACTGCATTGGTTCAGGCAGATCTATTCCCAATGCAAGTGTTTACTAATGTTACATTTCTAAGCTTAGTTGAGGTATGGATGACCTACTATGAGTTTTTTTCTTAAAAAAAAAAAAGTTTTTGATGTAACATTATGTACACAAATCTTTTAAACTTGGCCTGGTCTTTGCCCGTGCAGCGTTGTTTTTTTGTAGGTAAATGTCCAACATTTTACAATTTGACCCACCTGGAAATTCATTACTTAACTCAGAAGGGGTGGAGTAGTATGGTCAACTGCCTCCGAAGCTTCCCCAAGCTTGAAACTCTCATAATTCATGAGGTTTGAAGAGTCAATTAGAATCTCTTTTTATTCTACGATCTAGTTTTCTAGAAGTATTACAGAGCACTTTTGCGTACGTGGCCAGGGTTGCAAGGGGCTGGATTGGACTATGGAAGCAAGTCCTGATGAAGATGAAGTTCCTCCATGCGTGTCATCAAATCTGAAGACGTTTGCTCTTTATGGCTTTAACTACTTGAAAGGTGAGTTGGAAATTGTAGGATTTATAATGAAGTATGCGACAGTTTTGAGGTCTGTGGTGATTAGGACTACAGATCATCAAAGGCAAGAGGCTAAGATCTTGGAATTGCTGGAAATATTATCATCACATCCCAGGCGTTCTGAGAATTGCGGGCTGTTTGTTGATGTTCCTGCTGGAAGTATATTTGAGAATGTGTATAGTAAGTTAGTGTCAGATGAGGACTTCAATTACTACTTCCAAGATGGGATGCAATCTTAATTCGTCCTTGAATTTAGTCTGGTTAATTATCTTCATTATAATTAATGGATATATGCTGAGTGGAGGGTAAGAAATTGTATTCTCTGGGAAGGTATTCCTGAAAGTTTCAGATGATTTAGTCTTTTGTGCAAGAACTCTGAATTTATTGTATTACTATTTCGTTCCTTTAATTCATCCCAGACTTATTTCGTAATGGTCACACTCTTGTATTCAATTTATTTTTCTTTCTTTGAATATTTTCCATTATATGCTAAACCCGAGTTCTGCTAGAGGTTGGTTCATTTAGGCTTTTTGAAGTTGGCCTTTTTATGTAATTTTCTAATCTATTTTTTCTGTGGGTTTGAATAAAATTAATGTTTTATAAAAAAATCAACATCTTTTTGACTAATACTAATCAATATTTTTTGAACGTATAATTGAACTTCCTAAATCGTAAATGTGTCCCGCGGGAAAGAGACATTATTATATTATTGAAGTTTTCCCTCGGCCAGAAATATGTATATGCCCACAGTTTTTTATTTGGGAAAATTGAGCATAAATTTTTCAGTGAAAAATTAATTAGTAAATACTATTTTTTATTTTTAATATAAGAGTTAGTTAACTAATTTAAATAGATTAAAAAAATTAATTAAATTAATTGTTGGTAATAGTTGTTGGTAATAAATGGGTGGTTTTTTTTAAAACATCCTTATTAATTAAGTGTCACTTGATTAAACATTTAATATGTGTAATTACGTTTGATAAAAAAATATATGTAACTACTATAAAGATTATCTAAAAAAATAGATAAATATAAAAAAAATAAAATAGATTTAAATTTTATATTTAGGACTAAATTAAAAATTAAATAAATTCTTATATTAAGTAGTTCCTAAGATGATGGATAAAGAACGTGGATTGGGCGCACGCACATCCTGAATTGAAGTTAAGTTGCATAGGAGGAAAATTAAGCTGTATAAAATACCATTTGCTAATTAATTCCACGTTCAGGGCCTTATCCACAGTTTCCACTTTCCCGTCCAGTTAACCATTGCTAAATAAACAATAATAAAAAGAATAAAGGTTAAACTATACATTTGATTCTTTATTTTTATATAAGATCTCAGTTCAATCTTTTAACTTTATAAAGCATATTTTTAATTATTTAACCATGAAATTATTAGTGCTACGTGATGATTTTTTTGACAATTATAATTGTTTTAAAAATTAAACTTAATATGCTAGGATTTAAAAATATTTTATTAACACTCTAATTAAAAAAATTATGACAAGCAAACATGGAATTATTTAATTTTAAACAAGTGAATAGAGATTATTAGATTATGCAACAGTTAATATATTCTCGTTATTGTTGTGAGAAAAAAAATCCAGCTTTAATTTCATTTTGTGATCATGCTTTTGTCGGATATGAGTCGTGTTCAGACTAATTAGACTAATTTATTTTGTCAATCGAATCACTTTGGCAGAATAATCCAATTTTATCCAGAAACAACTTAGTTTGCTGCCAAAGAAGCAGGCAATGAATAAAGTTATAAGAAGCTAAATTTTTCTTTTTTTATCAAACAGAGATGCAGCCAAATAATTAACCGTTGAAATAATTTATGATTTACAATATCTGCTAAGCCCAATATATAGTACTAAATTCGGTATTTGATATAAGAGTTAGTTATAAATTCAATTTAATCATAAATATAAAGACCTCAATCTATTTTATTTCTTATACTGTGTGACGCTGTATGATTTTTATTTTGTTTAGTTCTTTATCATAACTCATCGCCTACTGCTCGTTCGTCATGAGGCCTTTTCGAGGCACCATCTTCCCCTCTTACACAGCTCAGGTGAAAAATCAAGGGTTAAGGTGCACTCAGCACCCCCAAGTATTTTGTCAGGTTCTTGAATCAAACTTAATCATAATACAACTTTAAAAATTAACATGTTCTATTTCACAGCTAATACATTTTAATTTTGAATTCACAATTTTTTGTTTCCACAATACTTGCAATAAGTATTTGCATATAGTGATAAACCTTGATCACAGTATAACCTTGAAAATTAACATTTTCGTTTCACAATTAACACGTTTAAGTTTTAAATTCACAACTTTCTATTTTCATAATACACTTGCTTGATCAATTTTCTGACTTCACAATAATGAATATCAAGTTTGCCTGGCTAAGAGCTTTCATGCAAAGCAAAAATGATAGCAAATCATAATCTCTCCAAGTTTCTAATAAAAAAGATATTAAAATTGTTTCATAAAACTTTAAAATTCTTCTATGAATAATGTGGTCTAGTTAAGATTTTAATAAATTTAATGATCCAAATAAATATTTGGATTATTCAAATATTTTTAAAGAGATTTTTCTATAATTTTATGTATTCATGAGGATATTGTACAAAAATAAGCTTATACTTCCCTAATTACTTATCAAAGAGCAGATACGGGGCCTATTTGCCAAGGCGTTTTGGTGGGTAATCGTGCGGTGACAAACCGTGCGATTTATGAAATTTGATTGTTTGTGTTAGCTGTAAGGACATTATGCTTTTACGTCAAAAGAAAAAATGAGAGTTGGTGGAACTGTTAAAAAGGTCGAAAGAGAAGTTTAAAAAAAAATTGGGTTACTTTCTCTAATTTTTATTATAAGTTTCAAATAATTAATTTATAAATAACAAAAAATTAATCAAAATTAATTGAAAATAATAAATAGGTTGCAAATATATTTTTGATTTCAAATATTCCTATGATCTTTTTTTATAAGTCAGAAAGGGAAGGTTTTCTTAGTTTTATTTATAAGTCACTGCATGAAATTTTTAGTATGAATGTCCCTCATTTATTATAGTGTAAATGATTATTTTTTGAAGTATATATATTAAACAAGGATTAAGTTAAAAAATTATTATATTTTAGATAAAATTTAATATAGTTTAAGGTTTTTCTTTATTTATATGAAATATGTTAAAAGTGTCATATAAATACGACGAGATGAGTATGCCCTTATAATAAATTAAAAAAGATTAAAAAAAAGTATGGAAAAATGTCACCAAAGAGTATAGTAAACAACATCGAATTGAACCACTATTTTTCCATAGAGTTTTCTTGCCTCTATTTACATGAAAATACACTAGATGAATAGTTATTGGATGAAAAATCTCTTTTGAATATTTCATTTCCTATCACAATAAACATATAAATCCAATCATTAGGATTATTAACTAATAACAAGTGAGTGGATATTTAAAAAACGATTCTTTTTCTTGAGAACCCAGAGTATCGTTTCGCTATATATGTCACTATACGTACTGGAACTCTTTTATATTTCAATTCTATTACAAAATCTTCAATTACATATATTATTTAATAAAATTTATATCTTTTTGGTCATTTTACAACTAAATTTATTTTTTCAAATATGTTAAAAGTGTCTTATAAATACGACGCGATGAGTATGCTTTTATAATAAATTAAAAAAAAAGGTGAAAAAAAAGTATGAAAAAATGTCACCAAAAAGTATAGCAGATGAGAGAAAATAAATTACATATATTATTTAATAAAATTTATATCTTTTTGGTCATTTTACAATTAAATTTACTTTTTCAATAATAATTCAAACAACTTTGTTTTTACAAACTAACTTATTTACAAAAACTAATCCAAACATAAATCACAATATGTAATCTAATTTTTATCTAATCAAACTTTTTTAAAAATCAAATTAAAAATAAGTTACTTCTTCTACCTTGGATCCAAACTTATTACTTGTACTGTGAATAAGCATGGATGAGACGGCCTAAATATCCCAGGAAATATGAACTTTAGACAAAACGTGGGTTGTATTAAGGAAAGAGATGAAATACGCTTGTGATGGAGTGCCCTCCAGCAGCCGTCCATAAACTCCTTATAATTCATTTCTGTTATTCATAAAATAAGTTCGATTTAACTACGATTAAAAAATAATAATCATTAATCCATCTCCTCTTATCAAAACTTAATATTACATTAATTATAAAGTTCAAGTGCATAAATTTGTTGGCAAAAATTGTACAAAGGATACAAATAAGAAAAATTAATAAATACTTTGCATATTATCAAACTGAATTTATATTTTAAAATAGTTGGCGAAAAAAATCTAT